TTTTTATAAGCATGCAAAAGATTAAAGATTTTTGTAAAAAGGTATTTCTCTTAAATTTAAAGTGGCCGATTTTGGCCACTTTTGAATTAAAAGTTGAAAATCGTTCATGACTGTCCACACTTCATCAATTACCAAGTCAAAACTAACTGAAAAAAATAAGTTCTGTTTTATTTTATTCAGATTTTACAGTTCATTACCAGAGTTCAAAACTAAACCAACAAGACAGCTTTACTGTGCAACATATCTTCATAAAAATCAACAAATCAACCTCAAGTCTAAGACACATTTATTTGTTGTCTCGTTTGTCAAGAATCAATAAAATGTGTTCAAACATGAACATGATCCAAACATGTGATTTGATTTATTTAGCTCTAATGTGACCAAAACACTTTACAGTAAAAATCAAATCACAAGAAAAAGAAAACACAAAAACAACAATAAAAATAAGGGAAAATGCCACTTTGCTGCATAGTATTAAGGGCCAGTCTAAAGAAATAAGTCTTGAGCTTAAACTTAAAGATGCCTGGGTGGGAGCGAAGGTCTAAAGCAGGGGTATCAAACTCATTTCCACCGAGGGTCACATGAGCGTTATGGTGGCCCTCGAAGGGCCAGCTGTAATGAACTTTGACGTCTCATGTTTAACTTTGACTGAACAGTGTTTTAACTCGTCCTCTTTTAAACACAGATAAGAACTAATTGTATGACTGACTAAATCTGAAATAAATACAGAAATATTATTAAAAGTAAAACAATATTTTACTCACTGATGAGTTTCTAATGCAGGGCTATTCAACTAAATTTCTCTGGGGGCCACAGTTGCTGCAGGCCAACGGCACAGGGGCCGAACATCCAGCAATTAAAGTCATTATGTAAAGAAACCAAGCATTACAAGATCTGTTACCTTTGAAACTGTTAATTTTACTGCATTTAACCATGAATACAACATACAGAGCCCTATGTAATAAAAGAAGTGATAATAAAACAACAAAAACAAAAAGAACACATTACGCTTCTTATTTACCACAAATAAAATTTTGACATCTCTGACTTACCAAATTTTTAAACCAATTTTATTTTCACTTCCATAGTTTTATCTTAACCGCTTGTAGTTTTAACTGTCTTGGATGTTCATAGAAATGGTTTTTACCAGCTTGTAGCCAAGATTCTGGCGTCTCTGTAGACACCAAACATGTCTATGTTGAACTAAAAGAACTTAGAATAATTAAAGTAGAAAACCAGGGGTTTGGGCTTAAGAGATGAATGAACCAATTGGCGGGCCGAACTTTGGTCACTCTGGCCCGCGGGCCACCAGTTGAATAGCCCTGTTCTACTGAGTAACTAGTATGCATTATGGCAGATTTAGTTTATGGTTGATGCTGACTTTAAAGCAACTTTTTTCAGACATTTAGTGTGCTATCCAACTAAATTGCTCTTAAAGCCAACAGCTCAGGGACAGGACAAATGTTATTATCTTTCACCTTTTTAAATTTATTTTGTTGCATTTAATCATAAATTTAAAGTTTGCCATTGATATAAGAAACAATTTTCATGTTAAATAA